TATTCAATCACGTTTCCACAAAGTCAGCTTATGAATATTATAATGAGCCGCTTTTATCTGTGTCGTCAATGGGAGAAACTTTTTCCCGCGAAAAACAAATGCAATTGAGTTTACATGTAAATCCTCGGTTGATTGCTGTAAGTTTTACCTCTTCAAATGTGCAAGTTATCAGTAAATTATTGACGGATTTTTATTGAACGTCAAATTGACATTTATTGACGCCTTCAAAGCGATTTAAATATTAAATTTCTGTTCATAATGAGTAAATAATAAGAGAATTACTCCCGGTCAGTTTACAATCATGATAGGAACTTGATGTGAACAGGTGAAATTATCATAATCATTAGTTCACCAACATTATAACATGTCTCTCATGCATAAAAATATATAGATAGACAATCTATTTAAGTTAATCTTCAATGTCATTTGATGACTGACCTGTTCAAATTAAAAACATTTGCTCTTATTCATTAAATCATTGACTTCTCTACTCCCATAATTCAATCAACTAAACGATTACTTCCTATTTATTTCTGCAAGTCATCGCATCTTGAAAATGTTATACTTGAAAACATCTGAATATAGAATTGATATCGTGACATATACAACTTATATATATATTCCAATGTATATGTCACATATTTAACGCTGCGTATCTCCAGATCCAAATATTCCCGAGAAAATGTTTTTTATTCAGTGTAGAAACAGTCAATTTGTTAAAATATCTTGCTAAAGCAAAACTGTCAAAATAGATCCAGCAGACCGTAGAATTTTTCTTAACCAAAATGATGCTGGATTTCTCGAAAATAATGAGAATGAGAACGCTTAATAGAAAACAAACCTGGATATGCCGGTGTCCTGAAACTTCACTTGTGCAACCTCATTTTTCATAGGGTAAATAAGTCAGTGTGATGATCGGTTTTGAATAATGATCACTGGGAAGATTTCAGGGAAAGAGCGTATATCATATTATGTTTATTGATGATATGTTGAAATTGCTGATCGTTATTGACATCGCTGATGGCGAATAAATACCAAAAGGTAGCGCTTTGCGTCACTCGTGGTGAATTTCTGATGGAACTTCTCACAACGACATAATAACCATTTAACAGGATATTGTATGACCACTATCAAATAATTAAACCGAGTTGTTTGTAACTTCACAATTTACATTTTTTGTTTACAATCGCACGAGACATGTGAGCCCGGGTATGTGAGGCTGACCTGAGAAGTCTTAATAAACAATAGTTCTGTCAAAAATGATTAACCCTAGAAGCCCTAAGGTAAAAATAGTCACACGAACACCTAAGGGGGGTCAAAAGGGCACCCCCCTTGTAAAATTTTTATTAATAGAGCTAGGATGTTCAAACCTTTTCCACGTATACTTCATTCAATTATCTACAACTTGGTGTAAAAACTTTTACAATTACGATGATGTAAGATTGTGTAATTTTATTCTTAAGACAATACCTTTGGTAGAATTACTGCTAGCTTTTTTCTGATTTTGTCTACCGGAGCTGATGATTACATCATAATTAATTAATAACAAATTAGTAAAGTTAGGATGTTCAAACTTTCTCAAAATATAGTTCATTTAATTATCTACAATTTGGTGTAATTACTTTAACTACTATGATGATGGAAGATTGTGTAATCTTATTCTAAAGATAACATGTATGGAAGAAATAGTGCTAGCTTTTTCCGATTTTGTCTATTGCAGCTGATGATTACATCATAGTAAATCAATTACCCTATGTACAATTTTTCTGATTTTCAGAAAACATTTGTTATATCTGTAGCTACAGCTACTGAAAATTTGAAGACACTGTCACATGCCAATAAAAGGTTATGGGGAAAAAACTTAACAGGGGGGGTCATTTTGACCCCCCCCCCCCTTAGGGCTTCTAGGGTTAAATCAAATTACATGAAATTCGGAATGAAAGTGCCCCGTCCATATTTTATATTTGATTAAAAATAATTAGTGCATTGGGCAAATAGAATCCTTTTTAGTGCAGTCAATTCAAAATATTCCTATGTCGGCTGTACTAATTCTTCAAAATTTTCTACCATTGACGTCATTGATTTGACTCATTTGCATACAACCAATCAGCGCGCCGGAAATTATCATAGCCCAAGTTTGTTCATCCTGTTTGCAGATAGAGACCAGAGGCCTCATTATCCGGTCGACGCACCGCAAATCGCAATCGCAACGTAAATATTTAGCGAATCGTACGCAAAACGATATTATGAGGTCATCTCAAAGGCACTAGCGCAAATTCATTGCCGTTTTGCGTCTTTAGCGCAAATCGCAGTTTTCTTATTACACGGTAGACGCATCGCTATTTTCATTTCGCATCGCAAATACACTGCTAACCGCACGCAAATTGGTATTATGCAGTCATCGCACAGTTGCGTCCACGTAAATCAGTTGATTTTTATGTCGCAAACTCCACTTTATTTGCGGCATCCCTGACCCTGCCGCAATATAAATCGCAAACATATCATCAAGAATCTTGATAGTTTTCCTATTTAAATTAACATTATCGTTGTAGAAATCTAGGAAGTGCCCTTTGAGACATCCAACTAAAAATAGGTTGAAAACATTAGAGACACAAATAACCAAAACTTATCAAAATCAAGTCTGAAAGTGCACGATTATGCTACCTTGGTTTTGTGAAATCTATAATAAATATCGCAATTCCATTTCGCAAATATCGTCTGCTAAAATTAAAATATTAGGGTTCGATCAAGCTGGAAAATGTGGCGCATATTATTCCAGGATGTTCACAATAGAAGAGGTTTACGCTTATTCAGAGACAGGAGTCAGTCGTTAGAGATGACTGACGATGAGATATTAAACAGATATCGCATGCCGAGGCCACTCATTCTTGAGTTGATTAATATATTAGATGGGGATCTAGCGTCAAGAACAAGGAATCCTCAGGCAATTCCATGTCAGCTAAAAGTATTCATTTCATTACGATTTTATGCTACAGGTGTATGCAAATGATAAATGGAGATATATTCGGGGTATCCCAACCTACTGTTTTGAACATTGTTGCTGAGGTATCGGCGGTTTTCTCTAGGTATCAGTCGGACTAATTACAAAGACACCGTGTCTTGTTTTCAAGATGGGCTGCCTTCCAGTGACAGATCTAGATTTTCGCAAGGTAGTATGTAGTGGGAGGGATTCAATATGGGTTTTATTATGATGGACAATATGATATTTACCGAGAGCCCGGAGGGTCAGAGGGAAATACCAAATTGTCCCTCACAATATGTGAAATATTAAATTGTCATGAGGAATAAACCCATATTTAATCCCGACCAGTAAATTAGCTTTTTATTCCATGATATTCATAACTGTCTTCATAAAATCATTAATTAGATTTTTCTATGAAAAATGGTATATTTAATCAAGAAAATATGACTTAGCTTTATGATATTTTTAAATATAAAAAAATTATTGTACATGTGTAACATAAACACATCAACATCAAAACATTCAGCAATACGTAAGCATTTTTGTCTGTGTCAGAGCGATGATGATGAAACTGTAATTCGTTTTTCACATAAGAACATCATTTTAGCATGCTATATCGACCCAACTGATTGAAAGAGGAAGCTTTGTTTGGCAAAAAAATTTCAATACGATTTTTTCTCAATATCAAAAATATTTCCGGTTATTCATCGGGAATTAGTAGTATCATGGGATAAATAGAGATTATCCTATATGACGTGCAGGATATTGAACTATAGGATGATCTGTTTATCCCATACCAATCTTGGTCATTTTGTTCACGCTGTTCAATTGGCCGGAGTTCAGAAATTGTCCAACCAACCGTAAGAATTCATTTAGAATAGCCTGATTTTCAGATATTCATCCACATTTATTTCTGAAATCCTTGTTTAACAGGGATACGCTCATTTCCTTCCTTCAAACAGATCGCGATTGTCTGCCTTTTCTCCATTAACGTTTACAGTAATTATGCGCATGTTACAAAAATGAACCAATATGCGAACGGCGATTATGACGTCAGCGGGCAGATATACTATATCTGCCCGCTCAGAGCGGGACGTATAGCTATATCTGACCGCTGATGAAAATATATAGAGGTTATTTAATGGGAGGTTTTTGATACAGGGTATATCTGAGGGAAATACAATATATTGTATTTAGCGAGGGATATACCCTGTATCAAAAATCGAACATTTAATAACTGATTTATTCTATACTTAGTAGATTGTGAGGAATAATAGCAAAGTCCCCTGGCTCAGTATCTACTCCCTGAATTTATGACGTCGTATATCTGCTGATCGGGAGATATATATATCTCCCGCTCACGTCACATATCAGTTATATTCCCGCATGTTATATACCTATAACACTACTAAATATGGAATAAAAGTTTTTACAAACCAGCTTTATGTACCTATAGCACGTCCAAGTATGGGATTGACACATCCGCACTGGCGTAAACATATACATAGACATTAAAAAATCGATAAATCTATTTTGAGCTCTAAGTTTAAATTTCCCGCGTTTCCAATTTATTTGCGATTAGCATACTGTCGCGTCTGCGTTGCGTCTGCGTTTGCGTGAAGCGCGTAATACGACGCAAACCATGATTTGCGCTTGCGAATAATGTTGATTCGCAAGCGCAACGCAAATCGCAACGCTAATTTAGCGCTGACCGGATAATGAGGGCACCACCTCAACCGAATTAGGTCTTTCTCTTTAGTCATTATATCATATGCTTGTAACATTCCGCGAAAATATGTTAGAACATAGAAGAATCTGAAGAATGTGAACGTGTGAAGCCCCCCAATATTAACCATGTAGGCAGACCACAGGTCTTGCAGTCCAAGTTGGACATTATTCAAAAGCGTCAAGCGCATGATTTAAAGGAGACTTACCCTATATATTCATAATCTTAGCAAACAAATGGACTATACATATATACCGTACTTAAATTGTACTGATCGCTTCACTAGCTAACTAACATACATGCCAGCTGACCAGGGTGGTTTGCCAGATCGGTAAGGTTCAGCTCATCGTTAGTAAACATCAAGGTCCCGTGCTCCGGGCAAAGCCAGCACCATCGTGGAGCCCTACGTAGAAAAAACAATTAAGATTGTCCTGGGAGTTAAAGGGCCAATCGCGATGAAAGTGTGGATATTTGCAATTGGATGCGCAATCATACTGACGCCTTTTATATTTTGCGGGGTAAGTTACAAATATATACGCTGTAAAGGATACTAGGACAGACATTCACAATCTAATTGAAATGAAATTGTACGATTTAGGAACATGTATAATAAGTGCAATATGCAATTAAGTTTGCCCAATCAGACAGACTCTCCTTTGAGAAAAACTTATTGCACCAATTATACATATTCCTGGCCCCAAGCCATCCGGACTGCAAGAATATGCTTACAACACGTCCAAAGAATATTTGTTGGATAACATATGCGTATTCTGAAACACTGAGCGAGAGATCACGAGAATTTGTTCATACTTTGAAATTCCTATTTTATGTATGTATGTATGTATCACCAGACGGGAAAGTTATTTTTGCAGATTTGGCGGAGTACCAGAAACGTCATGTAATTACATACTATTGTAGCCAAAATGTTGAAAACATAAAATTGACATTTTATGATAATGCTGAATAAATGATAGAACGAGACCTAAACGCGATTCTTTACACACACAATATAGATCCCGTCAAAAAAACTACAGTAACATCTTAAATGTTCGGAAGTACTTTGAATTTAAAAAATAAGCGAACAAATGACTTTATTGCAACGGTATATAAAAATAGAAACATTTGTACAAGTCCTAACTTTTGTATATTTGAGATAGTTATTATAATGTGCCGCAAAGCAGTGGCCTTTTGTAATTTAGGGAGTTTCAGCCATGTTAATTTTTTTTCGAAAATAACATGGCAGAGAAGCATCAAAATATAAGAGACCAAAGATATGATAGCTAAACTACAAAAGAAACTAAAATATACAAAAGTTAGGACATGTATAAATGTTTCTATTTTTATATATAATCTGTTTCAATATAGTCCTTTGACTGCTTATGTACTTATAAACATTAAACATTTTACTATACTATTATTTTAGATCGCTTGCATTATTCTTTCATTCACATGCATTACGCAACTAGAACCAATGCATTACACTACTAAATTATATGTTTTTCGCCACTAGGACCCATGTATCACACTACTAGATTATATGCATTACGCCACTAGGACCCATGCATTACACTACTATATTACATGCATTGCGCCACAAGGACCCATGCATTCCACTAACAAAATTATATGCATTACGCCACAAGGACCAATGCATTACACTACTAGATTATATGCATTACGCCACAAGGACCCATGCATTACTCTATCAGATTATATGCATTACGCCACTAGGACCCATGCATTACACTACCAAATTACTAAATAACATGCATTACGTCACTAGGACCCATGTGTTACTCTATCAGATAGCCTTGCCCAAGTCGGTCTCTTTTACTTATCTTGATTTCTATTATGACCGCCTTGTACCAAAGAGAAAGCCACGTGCTTTACCGACAGTTTGTTGATGTCGGTAAAATTTGACCAATCAACGACGGCCCTGTAGCGTTAGCTCATTATTATGCAAGGTCAAAAACAAGTACAGAAACACTCGATCAGATCATTGAATTTCAAGTCGTAGATGGGAAGTTTGTTTTGTTTATGCAGCTCAACCTGATAACGTTTTGATTGGTCATTCAGCCTGAAGTCACACGACGTGTCCACGCGATATCTGTCAATCAATAAGGTTTCGCGATACCCCTTATACGTAGATATAATGGAAATCTCGAAACCGTTCAATATTTCAGCATAATAACAGCGGAGATGTATTGGATTGTACAAGGCGGTAATAATTCAAGATCAGATGAGTAAAAAAAATACCGACTTGGGCAAGGCTATCTATCAGATTATATGCATTACACCACTAGGACCCATGCATTACACTACTAGATTACATGCATTACGCCACAAGGACCCATGCATTACACTACTAAATTACATGCATTACGCCACTAGGACCCATGCATTACATCACTAGGACCCATGCATTACACTACTAAATTACATGCATTACGCCACTAGGACCCATGCATTACGCTACTTGATTTTGTGCATTACGCTACTAGGACCCATGCATTACTCTATCAGATTATATGCATTACACCACTAGGACCCATGCATTACACTACTAGATTACATGCATTACGCCACAAGGACCCATGCATTACACTACTAAATTACATGCATTACGCCACTAGGACCCATGCATTACATCACTAGGACCCATGCATTACACTACTAAATTACATACATTACGCCACTAGGACCCATGCATTACACTACTAAATTACATGCATTACGCCACTAGGACCCATGCATCACACTACTAGATTATATGCATTACGCCACTAGGACCCATGCATTACACTACTATATTACATGCATTGCGCCACTAGGACCCATGCATTACATCACTAGGACCCATGCATTACACTACTAAATTACATGCATTACGCCACTAGGACCCATGCATTACACTACTAAATTACATGCATTACGCCACTAGGACCCATGCATTGCACTACTAGATTATATGTTTTGCCACTAGGACCCATGCATTACACTACTAAATTACATACATTACGCCACTAGGACCCATGCATTACACTACTAAATTACATGCATTACGCCACTAGGACCCATGCATTGCACTACTAGATTATATGTTTTGCCACTAGGACCCATGCATTACACTACTAAATTACATACATTACGCCATTTGGACCCATGCATTACACTATATAGAAAATCCAATGTCTAGGAATCTAGGAACTATAAACATAACGTTTGAGAAGTTCCAGGATCACAATCTCCTCTCTCCTGATGCCTATCTGATATTTTAAGATGATGTGTAGCTCTAGAGGATCCGTTCTTGCTGCCCTTTTGGTAACTCTTCTTTTATCGAGTTGAAGACAAAATTGAGAAACACTATCAAAGTCAATTATAAATAAAGAACGGGTAGTTTTACAAATACAAGGTCGAGTCACAGAAATTTTGTCTAATACGATAACTTATTCTTTCATAGAAACAAAACGTCATCGTTGTGGCATCACAGGAAAGTCCGTAGAAATTGGATGGATACTCATAGAAAGGTTTTGTTGCCATGTCTTTGTTGTTGACAAACGTGGGACTTTTTCAGATGGAAGATGATTCTATCTTATGGGAAGTTATGGTCGAATCGGAATGAGTCATGTATATAATTAAGATATCGTCATAACGTATTGATTATTTTATATAGCACATGGACACAGATGGTGATGGTATACCAGACCACTTGGACCACGATGATGACAACGACGGCGTACTGGATCATGAGGACCACGATGACGACAATGACGGTAAGGAGTCAAAAATAGTATCTGCTTAGCTTGATACTTCAGCTTATCCTATCAACATATATCAACAATCTGAACCATATAACACTTGGTTTTTATATATTTAGAGGTTATGTCACTATGACGTGAAATATGCCTGAGTTCTCCCAATATAGGCCGACCTTGGGAGGCTCTATATTTGGGCAAGAACGAAGGCATATTTCACGTCATAGTGACATAACTGATGTATTACATGCCTTTGTTCCCATGTTCCCATGGTTACTTTGTATCATGTATCACGTCATGATATTATCATGGTTATTAAAGAAATCTAGTATCAAAACGAGGTAAGCGGGCTATATCGGGGTAATCGGGCAATATCGGTGGATATAGCTCGCTAACTTTCCCATTGACTTCCATACAAATGCTTCGCTAGGTATGTAATACAAGTAATGACAACACTTCTTTACATATGATTTTCATCCGATGTCAATGTTCAACATTCAAGAGCGTCGGATCGATAACTAGATGTAAACGAGTCTATAGCTCATCTCTGTAGAAAGAGAAAACACAGTTGATGGTTAGCATCATTCGGTAGTCGTTTGGCTCAATGATAGAATTACCCACTTAGCAAGACTAGACTGGTTTATATTGACGTGTCGCAAAAAGGTCGCGCACGCATTGTTACACATTTTCGCGTTTTTAACATCACAGAATGTGACGTTTTTTGAGAAAAATGTACACATATGGAAATCCTTTCGTCCTCCACATTTGCCTCTATATCTCAAATATTTAAGGCGAATAACTCTGATATCGTATATGTATTAACAATGTTATAGGAGCATCATAAAACACGAATCAATTGATATTTTAGGTGAAATAAATATACGAGGGTTGATCATAAAGTTCTCATAATATCTTTCTAATTTCTTTGTTTTTCAATATATTCTCATGCAATTTTCACAGATTGTGCAGCATAGAATGTCTTATTAATTCAGCAAAAATATTTAGTTCAACAGAATTATTTAATTAGAAATGGTTGCCATAGTAACGGGAAATCAAGGCACCCGGGGCAAATAAAAATAGTTGAGAGAGTGAGCTTAATTAACCATGTTTGCATACATAATAAACTCTCTCATGAATTACCAAACACGTTAAAATGTTAACTTGGATATGTTGGGGATGATTTCATGCTTCATTAGATGTGATACCACAGTCTGAGACTCAAAGCCAGTGATCAGAAATGACTGAGTAAGAGAATGCAATGGATGCAGAGATCTTCAGAAAAATAAAATTAATGCTGATAAAATGTTATGTTAAGTTTGTAAGACCCTTTGGTCAGACTAAACATGATCTAAAACAAATATATTGCTAGATGTCAACAAAATTACGCTTTGTGTGTGGTCTGTATATATTAAAATTGAACTAAAGGGGCAAAATCAATTTTCCTCGGGATATTTGACAAAACAGTCATGGGGTATAACAGTCACTTCTAATAAAGCATAACAATCATCCATTATGAGATCACACAATTCACATGACCATTATAATAGTTCACAACGATCAAGAGCACATATTATTTGACAATTTAATGTGTTTGATAGCTTATTTGACAACTTGTATTTAAACATGGTTAATGGGGGATATTCTAGCTAGTTTTTTTTATTTGCCCCGAGTGCCTTGATTTCAAGTTACTATGGCAACCATTTCTTATTTGATGTTTCTGTTATTCTAAATCTTTTTTGCTAGAATAATAAAACATTCCATGCTGCACATTCTGTGAAAATCTCATAGGAAAACATTGAAAAATAAAGAAATTAGAGAGATATTATGAGAACTTTATGATCAACCCTCGTATGTGTTGCTGTGCTTGAAAATAGGCGAATGGCGTAAATAAGCCCTATTTTAATGAATTTTGAAAACCTTTCGTCCTCCACTTTTCCACATACAACAGAAAACACATACTTTTGCGAACAAAATCAACTTTTTATTAATAAACTGGAGTTTAAGAGCAAAATAATCATGTATGATTTATTAAAAATTGATCTTGTATTTTTTGTTTAATGGCACCTGAAAAGTTGAAGGTAACAAAAAATGAGCAAAAAAGGTCGCTGTCAACAGATTCTATTTTTCAAACTCTATGACGTCACAATATGGGACGCTTACTAAAATTCATCTATTTGAAATAAAACTTCCATCTACCTGGTAGTTTAGAAAATACATCACCAAGAAAATGCATTTTCTAAAATTTTGAGGCTCCCTGAGGGTAAATTTAAATTATGAATTTTACTTTTAGATTTTTATGAAACAAATTGCCTACATCATTATGTATGTTGTAATATTATACATTAATTAATAAGAGGTACTAAAGTATTACTACTACACATTTAATTTTTAAATGTTATTATCGAATTCAAATATAAATCAACTATTTTAACTGAGCCAAGTATTGGATGATTGGAGGCAGTATTGATCAAATTTGCAAAGGGTTAATTTTATTCTCACCTGTCTCAACAAAACAGGAATATCCCAGAATTCATACAGTCATACTTCTCTTATGTAAACTATATCATTGATTGGCCAAGGGTTCATCTATAATCCTGGGAAATGACCTCTTCTGGACGAAAAGCGTGGGAACATCTGATATGACCAGTTCCCATAACAGTGTGTCACCTCACTGTATGTACAGTGATCGCCTACTATTAAAAGTGCGTGATCAAAGACTCGACAAGATGCGGAAAATTCGAAATGTCGGAGGAAAGCTATGTTTGTTTCTCTTTTCTTTACCACCTTAATGACATTTTACCTACAGATGTATTCCATATGCTGTATAAGAGACTCAAGATTCATTTGGTAATAGGATTTGGTGATTGGTTCAACCGAAATACCTAAACTGAGTTAATAAATGAAGCAAAATCAAAAAACCCGCCGAATGAAAATGTATATTTCACCAAATATTCTGTTTTTAGATTACCAAAACCACAAAACCAACATGCTTATGGTTAATATACATAATACTTAACATCACATGCATATCAGACGTTCCAACTCCCCTTCAGTATCGAGTAAGAAGGATGTTATGAAAACAATTTATGATCAGCCAAGTGGGTGATTTTACCATGTGGATTCTAATGATATGTTCTTTGCATTTCAGAGTGGTTGGGTTTACATGATTTTACTGTCCTTCATTACGAACTCCCTTATACCTGTCATTTATATATGACCCAAGTTAGGAATGTACTAAAAACCCTTCGACCTACGACCCTTCGACCCTACGACTTACTGGGTGTCAAGAATTTTTGGAATATATTTTAATATTGAAAAACCCTTCGACCTCTGATTTCCCAGTCCAGTTTACTAAATGATTACGTATAGTTCCAACTTGAGCTCCCTGTAGGATTTAATCTACCTACAGCTTGTTAACTGTTAAAAATAGCAAGAACATAACTTCGACATATGAGTGTTACCTGATGAATGGGACCCTCACACGCCTTCCAAATGGTAGTAAACGAACTCTAGTGTGACTACATCAGCTTATCTTTCCGTCTGATCAACAATAAGTACAGTTATACAAGAAATGTAAATGAAGTGAAAATATTCCCAAAAATTTTCCGAAAGGCATGTCATTCCGGAAGTTATGATACGTTAAGGTGTCACTACGGTAAATCATTGAAAAATATTGAAAAAAATCACAAAATTCAAGTTCTGGTATGAGGTTCCATATCCATCCGCCAAAAGGTATATAGTCCATTTAAAAACTTGTGGTTTTGTACTAAATAACGCCATAGTTGACTTCTAGGGTACCTAGTATGCCACTATTTTGTATCAAAATATAGAGGAGGAGTTCAACTTTCATTTAGATTACGAAAATAGCGATGTAGGTCAAAATATAGTTCCGGCGTGAGCATGTTTACTACGCGTTGCCTGTCATCTCAGAATTGAGGAAATGGTAGCAAACGTGAGTTACAATAAATGGACGCTGATATCTCAAAAAGTAACCGGACTCCCTATAATTTGATGTAGATCAATCGAACCCCTATATGAACAGGTACATTTTGATATCTAACACTATGGGGGGGGGGGTAAGCGTTTTATAGTTGATCACGAACGCCATATGTGTAAAGTATTGCTCTGAATTTTCGAATTTGGTGTTGGATTACGGTACTCACACCTTCTGGGGTACATATCGCCATTTTCGAACAAATTAGCCCATACAATGACTATATTTCTGCAATCCCCTATACATAACCTTCATCTCGACACTATATTTAACATAGGGTTTGGGTCTCGATTTTTAAATATCACTACGCCAACATAGGGACTTATTTTTAGGTAAAATCTCTGCTTCACCGATGAAAATTAACGAATAAAGTAGTTCCTGTTTACGGGACCATATTCTTGAGATTTTTTTTTAAAAACGGCACATTTAAAAAGAACTTGGCCCCTGCTTTACAAACATACCTCAAATGCCCACAGTATATACACTTAAACCTACTATACACACCATTGAAGTTGGCATAGCTTCGTTTTTAAAGTTTTAAAAAACACCCGGAAGTGGTATTTACCGTAATAACACCTTATATTACTGAACATGGGTGAATTGGAATGTTTGTTCGATGGCATTATTACACCAAAAGTAGTGCGAAAATGGCCTTTTCACGTGTTGGCATAAAGTTTTGATGACATTTAAAGACACAGTTCCTCCTTCCCGTACATTATCTCATGGAAATTGGCATACCAGCGCAAAGATCTTTGTTTTGTGGTGAAGAAAAGCTATCAAACATTGTCTGAAGAGCAGATTTATCTCCGTAATTCAACTTTTAGCATGGCGACCTTGACCTTGAAAAAATATAATAGCCATTTGGGCGATAATAGGTGATTCAAAAGTAAAATTAATGCTTTTTCGTAGTTTTACTTTGACCAAGCCTAGAAATAAATCGAAGTGGTAAACCTACCCCCAAATTTTTTGACAAGTGTTCTAGATGATATCAAAGTTTAAGAAAATTTGAATATCTAGAAATATTTTAAAAATTAGTGCCATTATGGTGGGTTTGGGTGCTTTTTGCTCTCTTTTTTTAGCCCATTTGTATGGTTGCCATGGCAACTATTAGGTTTTGGTAACCATGTCAACTTGATTTTTCAAGGACATCCGCCTGATAGTAGTTGGGCCAAGTTTGATGGAAAATGGGCCTTGTTTGATATCCTGGCAGTGAGGTTGATTGTGGCAAGTAGTAAAACGCCAAACAATGGTGGAGTCATACCTGATGCTTGGATGTTCGCATTTTATTTAGCTCTCGTAAAATGAACGAACAAACGTTCCATTTTCACGCATGTTCGGTAATATAACGTATCATAACTTGGGAATATTTTCACTTCGTTTACATTTCTTGTATAACTGTACTTATTGTTGATCGGACAGAAAGAAACATAGAAAATAGAAGGTCGAAGGGTTTTTATAAAAATATATTTCAAAAATTCTTGACACCCTGTAAGTCGTAGGTCGTAGGGTCGAAGGGTCGAAGGGTTTTTAGTACATTCCCCCAAGTTAGCCACCTCGTGGTGAAACTGGGAACTGACTACTGGCATCTACTGAAGGTTATTACGTCATTACATTACTTATTGATACCTTGCTGCAAAAGAATGATTTAACTCCCCAATGGAATAGATAATGTATAATTCAGATTTTATATTTTATTACAATTACAATTACATTACAATTCGACAATCATCTTGGATGCCAAGGTGTATAGTTTTTATACCTTGGGATCAGAGGCGGAAAATAAATGGACTAAAATGGAACTTAAAAAACGGTTCCACTTGTAAGGTGTTACGCTTCAAGAGGTGTTTCACTTAGCAGGTTCTAGAGGTTCAGTGTATATATCATTTAATGGTAATGTATTCAAATCTAGGCAGAAAAACAAAATGAACACACACACAGTGACCATTTAATTGACTGAATCAGTTTGGACATACATTTTGCGAGATCCTCATTTTCTTCTCTTGAAAAGCATATAGATATGGGTGTATGGTTTGCTGAAACTCACGCTTTTGGCTGATCCATTCGTTTCTGTGTTAAAATATTTATTCCATGTTATTGAAGGGGAAACGTGAATTTCATCATGGTCAAATGGAAGTCCAAGACCCTACCTAAGTATAAAAAATTAAAGAGAGTAAAAATGTTCTATTGTTTTTGATATTTTCAAGCTTTTTAAATAAAATAACACATATTGTATCGCATTTATATCTTTAAATTGTAAAATCAATAACATATACGAAAAATGGTCAAACTAATATATATTTCTCAAAGCATATGGGTGTTCTTGTGCCTACAAAACCTAATTGAATCACCAGTAGCCTGTAATATAAACACAAATAAATCTTTTAAAAGTAACCGTTACAAAATATTTGAATTTTGCGCATCTTGTCGAGTCTTTGATCACGCACTTTTAATAGTAGGCGATCACTGTATATACAGTGCATCTGTCATTTCTCTGGAATGATGTACACTTTCCTCCAAAAGATTGAAAACAATTGTAGTACCTGTATATCTGAACACTTGGCTAATCCGAACACCTCCCAATTTGAACATTTTTTGGTCCCGTTTTTTCTCCCATTGACTCAAATGTTTAAAAAACTTGAAATATGAACATCTCCCAATTTTGACAGTGAACAGTCATGTTTGAAAATTAACCTATCTAATCTGAACACATAAAATATCACATGTTCCATAAATTGATCAAATATTTGAAAAAAACTTGAACGATCTCACTCATGGTGGGGCTTTCTAGGATGACTAAATTCATTTGAATCAGATTTTCATGTCACTCTAATGCCAAAACTAAGTAGTCAAAAGAACTATAATATTTATTGAGAATTTGTTTCTATTTCTTCAAAAACCCAAATCTTGCAAATGCAAAACCTCAAAATGTGAACACCTCCTAATCCGAACGCTCTGAGCTGGTCCCTTGGATTAGACAGATTTTACTGTAGGTACAATCCCCTCTAAAAGTTACTGAAATCACTGGCTGAGAATTGGTGTTCGCTTACACACAGGTGTTCAATAGAGTATACTCATATGTTCGCTGGGCACAGTATTTCACTAAAGAGATGTTCATTATGACAGTTTTACTGTACTGGGAATTGGTGTTCACTTTACACAGGTGTTCAATAGAGTAGACGCATGTTTTCACTGGGCACAGATCTTCACTAAAGAGGTGTTCATTAGGATATTTTTACTGTACTGAACTCACTGGCTGGGACGGAATCGGTGTTCACTATAATATACACAGGTGTTCAATAGAGTAGAGGCATGTCACTGGGCACAGATCTTCACTAAAGAGGTGTTCACTATGACAGTTTTACTGTACTGAAATCAATCACTGGGAACTCACTATATACAAAATTGAAATCTGTGTATCATGCCACCCCTGCAAAATAATTGACTTGCCCACTTGGTCTCTTGGATCCACTTGCAAAATATATGTAGTAGATGTGAATATTTTCGAAACAAATGAGTGATTTATACACATATTTTGTACCAAATGCGTGACATAAACGGCAATCGCGTGCAAAGACCGAACGGAATGCGTTCGCTTTTTTCGCCATTCGGTATTTTACCGTGTTGGCCAGGGGGGAGATTCCCCAAAGATGCCCTATCATATTAGCACGTTCGAAAACAAATTTTATAAACAGGCCTCAATTTGCCATTGAAATGGATCTCCAAATTTTCACTGTAGTTTTATGAGTATTCTTTACAAGTATGGATCGAGTAACTTCAATAGTATTACCGTAGGTTTGAAATGACGATGTTGAACTGATGTAAACGCCATTCCCACGATTTCAAATTTAACTCTGCGCATGCGCAGCACTGAGAGAGCATGTGCCCATGATTGTTCACGTGATCGAATCCTGCAATTTGATTGGAGATGAAAAAAGCACTTGGTGAAAAATGTGTATACCCTCTGGGAGCCACCAGCATGCATTTTCTTGGTGTTGTATTCTCTAAACTACCCATCTACCTTTATCAAGATGAAAAAAAAATTAATAGTCATATATTGTTTGAGTTATGAGCGTTTAAAGACGAAAAATAATTCAAAATGTAACGTGTCAACAGGGGATATTTGCCAGATGTTTTGGTAAAAAACTCTTTTTTTAATAAGAACGCACAAGAATCGTGAACGGAGTGTAGTTGATCTAAAAACTTCATCGAAACAGCTTTAAAATGATATATATTAGAATATTATCTTATAATTCGCGGAATCAAAGTTACATTCACGCGATACCCTTAAAAACAAATGCGCCACCTTTTTGCGACACGTCATTCGATCAAAGGGATGACAACTTTGATTGTAGGTATAGCTGATCATCACGAACAAGACTCGGACGGGGATGGAATTCCAGATGATACTGACAACGATGACGATAATGATGGCATTCTAGACAAATACGATGATGACGATGATGGCGATGGTATTCTAGGTAAAGACTATGTATCTTGAATAATATTGTATTATACAAAATATTTGATAAATTATTTAAGGGAACTCCGAACGTTTCTGTAGTTCATGTTAAAGATGCGAGTTATGACTTTATAATTAATGTCCACAGACATAATCTGATTTACGCTCTATGAACATTTTCATCTATACGATCTGTTCATTTTTATATGCATAGAATTCTGGTGCTATATGGTCCCATCACAATCGCTTCATCTTTTATTTCATATTTTCTCAACTTACTACAATGTATATGTATTCTATGTTGTAAATATAATTGGACCGCTTTGCCCCAGTCTCCCCTACAGTCTGACCCATGCTGCTGCATACACCCTTATATTTCAGACAACGATGAGAAGGACACTGACGGTGATGGGATCATAGATGATCTTGATCACGATGATGATAATGACGGCGTACCAGACTACCTAGACATAGATGATGACGGAGATGGCATACATGGTAAGCTAATTGGACAAAGTAGTATAATGGCTCAGTCACATTTAATCTACGGTAAACGCGGCCGCCGTAATTTCCCAAAATTGAGAAAAATATGCAGCGTAAAATATAGGGATAAGCAGTATGATGTATATTTCTATATCGGGTTCATGAAGCTACGGCGAAAATAAAGTGGTAGTTATAGTTAGATGGCACAGTGGTACACATGTCGTGTTGCCTCGGGGCACACATGTCGTGTTAACTTCGGGGCAAACATTATTTCAAAACCATTTAGTTTCTCATCATTCTGAGCAATTTATATATAGTTCACCATTGTAAGTATAATTGATTATGTAGCATGTAATATATATATCTTTGGTTGTTTATTATTTGTAGATGATGTCGACAAGTTCAAAGACATTGACCACGACAGAGTACCAGATTATTTAGGTGAGCGATTGTCAAAATGAAATGGAAATTAAACAGTGATCTTTTCGAGAAAACAAATTTGAATACTAAAAAATATCCATACAGGAAATCACAAAATGGTGCTTTGTATCATGAGAGTGACTGATTCATTATATGATGAATGAAAGATTTATAGACGCAGAAGACAAGGTTGATCCATATTCTAAGAATGCTGCTATTATCAAACGGAGTCGCCGTTTGCATGTTACGTAAAAAGTAAAGGTCAATCGTTCCATTCAGATCCCGATGATGATAACGATGGTCTCCTTGACGATCAAGACCCGGATGACGATAATGATGGAATACCAGACGCCCAGGAGAAAGATTCGGATTTAGATGGAATTGTTGATGATCATGATCAGTAAGTATTGTCTCTAAGAACGAATGGAACAAATATTGTTTTTAGTTGTACGGCTCGCAATTCTAATTTTAATTTGCAATGTGGCGATTTTATGGCAGGCCTACAGAACAGAAACGTTTAGAAACAGTGGCAAATGGGAGCTATTTTACAAAAGAATAAAATTATGAAACATTAATATGTATAAATATGTTGACATAGTGCCAAAAGATGAATTGCTCAAACTTACAGAGTGGGCCAAAAACAATACCCAAGTTTAAAGATGAATGATTCATACGATATATGTTAAACCATGCCATGTATTATATATCATTTTAAAGATAAATTATTTCACACAATCCAGTTAAAAACCCCTTATTTTCTTGTGGAGTTACAGACTAAAATTGACACCATTTGATAATTGATGAAAATATATAAGTATTATTGCTGTATTTTGCACTATACTCATATGCATGTACCTTTTTTGAATGTGCCAAAGTACAAATTTCCCTTTATTTTCAACAATCTGGAAATCCGCAGTGAATAATATTTTGGTCGCTCATGACATCCCTGGTGTCAATTTTAGCCTCTAACTTCACAAGAAAACAACGGTTTTTCAATCAGATGTTGTCATATTGTTAGGAAATGATTTATCCTTAAAATGTTATACAATACATGGCATGATTTAACGTTATATCATATGGTATTCATCCTTAAACTTGGATATTGTTTTTTGGCCCACCCTGTATATCAAAACACGGTGGACAACTAGATCATTAAGAGCTTTACATATCATTATGAAAACAAATCCCCAATAACCCGAGGGGAAATATAGCATTCAACATTACTAATCGTTTTATCTACAGGGATTCCAACAATGATGGATATAGAGATGACATCGATCTTAAAAAAGATTCTGATGGTGATGGAATACCTGACTTTACCGATACAGATGATGACAACGATGGGATACCAGATGGTACGTATTCTGACACCCCTTTCAAGTCGTCTGCTACGAGAAATGAACTCGTCCATATCAGTTGGCTAGTTCACATTGGCAAGAAAATTACAACCCAGTCATTCAATTTTGTTAAGTCATTCTTATTCAGCACCATAGATCAAGACATCTCTGCTCATATATTAAGTAATCACTTCTTTTCCATCGTTTCTAAATTCAACTTTGAGATGGACACCATCTGCGCCATAATAAGTCGCACTATGAAAACAACAAATTAATTGATCAGATTTTCATTCTGCCCGCATGCCAATAGGACGTGATCCCGACCATGACGGTGATGGAATCCCAGATGCACACGATAGGGATCATGATAAGGATGGGATTTCAGACGATATGGACCTTGATGATGACAACGATGGAATTCCAGATGTAGATGATCATGATGACGACAACGATGGCATACCAGGTAATGCGTTTGTCTTATATTACTGGTATTGTAATTCGTTTACCACAATGGCAGAACATTACAAGAACTCTTTCTTATTAATAAACAGTCTTGTGTTATTTTATGTGCATCTATACGTGATACTGTAGATTTTACAATGTACAACTGTTGATCATTTTAGAATAGCTAGGCACTCAGTGGAACTCTTTTTCGTAAATGTTTTGTAAATTTCTCGTTTGAGCAGTTGTGTTATTTCAATATTTAATCAATTTTAGCTGGAAAGCTTAAATATATCCCTTGCCAGAATAAAATTCTTTAACCTCTAATGAATTGAACTCCAAATATTAAGAATAGAATCGTCCAATCAAATAAAAAAATCTGAAGCTGGGCCTGAAGGGGTTCAAGTTAAAAAAAGATAGGAAGGTTTTAAAAGGTAACTTTCGCATACCCATGTAACTCAATAGTTCTATTTGAAATATTTTAAAGCCTTGGTTTTACTGAGACCGACTTTTCTTAATTTTGCTATTTCTGCTAACCCTACTATCACACCAAACTAGTTCTCACTACGTTCTCAAAAACGGGCTTCAACTGTGTACGAACGGACTGGACCTACTAAGAACCGTTTGGGATCTATTAACAAACTTCATCGAACGTACTCGAACGGGTAGGTCCTCTAGAACTTAGACAATGCTCAAAATGTTCTCGTGGTCGTCACGTTCTACAATTAGAACGAGTGACAACGTACTAACGACGAGCTGGACGTACTACGAACGGAACCGTCGTACTTCAATCCTACTAGGGACGTTTTAACAACGAGTTGAATTGTCTGATGACGTGTTGAGAACGAGGTAGAACTAATTGCAAACGGGTTTAAACTGATTGAGAACGTACTCAACACTGCTTATGAACGAGTTAGCAAAATATAGCTATCACACCAAACAAGTTGCCACTGCGTTCTTCAAAACTGTGTGCGAACGGAATGAACGTAGCTGCAACTTTCTAAGGTCTACTTACGAACTTTATGATCGTTCTCAGACGGGAATGTGATTTTAGAATTTTGAATCGATTCAAAATTCGATGGCGACCATAACGTTCTGTAATCAGGTCATGTTGACCTTCTAGACTAAGGGACGCGTTCTACTACGTTGCACACCGACGTGGTGCGACCTGAACGAACTGCGAACGAGAAGGACGTATTGAAGACTGTTTAAGAACGAAGAAGCTAATTATGTCAGACATATTTCCCGACCACAGCCAGATTGAGCCCGTTTTACGACGTTTTCATAGGACTGGCAAGAATGGGTAAGAACGAGTTTGGTGTGATAGGGGGGTAACAGAACATCCTAATAAATAATCTAAATAATCCATCTTTTTCATATATAAAACATATTACAACTATAACTTACAATCTATTTATACATTTGTGAACCTGGTCTATTTTAAAAAAGATTTTAGCCGTATTCAAAATCCCATTGAAATAAAAGCATATGGCTTATTAATTGGATTGTCCTCTATCTCTCGTCCCTCTACAGTATTAAACTTTAGCCATCTAGCTTATAAACACCATGTATGCTTTCAATATAATTAATATCATTCCTTCGGTAGATCCCTTCCAAATTTGATTTGTATCATACCTTGTCTTTTTAGATCACATGGAAAAGGACTCAGATGGTGACGGTATACTTGACGATCATGACGACGATGATGATAATGATGGTACGTACGAGGGGTGATCAATAAGTAATGGACTCTTTTTTTACACAGATACTTTTTATTAACCAAACCCTTTGATTTTCCTACCAGTGATACATCATTTAATAATCTATAAATTCTGAAGATTTGAAGACAAAATATACAACACATGTTGATTATCCTTATTTCCGTGAAGGAGGAATAGGTACCACGGGACCGACATTTACTTCACATATTCAGTTTTAGCCAGTTTGGCATATTTCAGTTAGATTTGAACTTGTTTTATATGCAACAAGCGTTTTGTTGTTTGAAATATTTTGCTGACTGGTAACCCATAAATGGTTATTATTGTGATGTCAGAGTGTTGTATGGAAGGGGTTTGCAGGTCAATTTGAGAAAGCATTGTTGAAGAAAGGGATGGTGAGAGAAAGGAACACCCTACTCCATATGGACAATGCACCTGCCCACAGATCTCAAAATGTTCAGAATACAATATCCCTGGACCTAAACATTGAGCCCTTGGCCAATGTACCATTTGTCAAGATCTGCCCACATCTGTCTTATTTATTTCTATACTACTTATTTCTATGGACGCAAGTTTAAATGACATTGATGAAATAAAACAAGCTGTGCTACCATGGCAGAGGATGGATTCAGCCTTGTCTCACAATCTTGAGTTTAGAGGATGAGGAAGTGTGTACATGTAGCACTTGATGGAACCTATGTGGAGGGCCCTGTAGAATGAATGTGGCACGAATACCACTTAGTGATGATGAAATATTAAAAATCAACTATGGCATAACAAAATGTGGTGATTCATGACCATCATGGTTTGTTTTGTCCCGCCTGCATTAAACTGCATTGCATGTTAAACAAGCTCAAATAACTTCAGAATGTTTGACGCCCTGTCAGTCCCGGGGTACCTATACCTCCTTCGTGGAAATAAAGATATATCAAAATATATTACACGTTCTATTTTCAAATCTTCAGAGTTGATATATTATTGAATGATGTATCACTGGTAAGAAAATCAAAGGGATTGGTCTTTAAAAAGCATCTGTGTAAAAATGTCCATTACTTATTGAAAACCCCTCGTATGTTAGCACGCTTCTATATTGGATGCAAAAAAGATTGTCTACCTTCAGCAAAATTGTATCATGCACTATTAAAAAGGCATCTATTATGAGATATGATATTATCAAAATTGACTATGTACAATATATACATTCAAAAGATTGTATAGTTGATTGCATTTTGAGCTATCATACGTAAATCAAAAAGTAATTCTGAACAAGAAATGTAATGAATTGACGAATATCTCTTGCAAATCTGTGGTGACAAAAAGAGAATGTTTTAGCAAGATCGAAAACTTATTTTAATATTCGTTTAGTTTTCATCAACCCTTATATGCAGTATGTTATACTCGTCTTTTGATAGGATGCACGTTATTAATGTGTAATCTAAGGATATAGATTACGAACTATTATTTCTTGCTAATACAGGGGTAATTGACCACGACGACGAGGATCACAAAAACTACCGTTGGAAACACCGTGATTCGGACGGGGATGGAATTCCAGACCATGACGATCACGATGACGACAACGATGGAATACCAGACCATTTAGATGATGACCACTATCATTACAAGGGCAGGCACCAAGATTCGGATGGTGATGGAATTCCAGATCATGATGACCACGATGATGACAATGATGGAATTCCAGATCATTTAGATGATGACCACCATCATTACAAAGGCAGGCACCAAGATTCAGACGGTGATGGTATTCCAGATCATGATGACCACGATGACGACAACGATGGAATTCCAGATCATTTAGATGACGACCATCATAAATACCAGCATGCTCAGGGTAAGACTAAAGACTCAGACGGCGATGGAAGTCCCGACCATGAAGATCACGATGATGATAATGATGGAATACCATACCACAATGATGTTGACCATCACAATTATCGTGGAAAGCATTATGATTCAGACAGTGATGGAATTCCAGACCATGACGACCACGATGACGACAACGATGGAATTCCAGATCATTTGGATGATGACCACCATCATTACAAAGGCAGGCACCAAGATTCGGACGGTGATGGTATTCCAGATCATGATGACCACGATGATGACAACGATGGAATTCCAGATCATTTAGATGACGACCATCATAAATACCACCATGCTCAGGGTAAGTCTAAAAACTCAGACGGCGATGGAATTCCCGACCATGAAGATCACGATGATGATAACGACGGAATACCAGACCACCATGATGTTGACCATCACAATTATCGTGGAAAGCATCATGATTCGGATGGTGATGGAATTCCAGACCATGACGACCACGATGACGACAACGATGCAATTCCAGATCATTTGGATGATGACCACCATCATTTCAAAGGCAGGCACCAAGATTCAGATGGTGATGGAATTCCAGATCATGATGACCACGATGACGACAACGATGGAATTCCAGATCATTTAGATGATGACCACCATCATTACAAGGGCAGGCACCAAGATTCAGATGGTGATGGAATTCCAGACCATGATGACCACGATGACGACAACGATGGAATTCCAGATCATTTAGATGACGACCATCATAAATACCAGCATGCTCAGGGTAAGACTAAAGACTCAGACGGCGATGGAATTCCCGACCATGAAGATCACGATGACGACAACGATGGAATTCCAGATCATTTGGATGATGACCACCATCATTACAAAGGCAGGCACCAAGATTCAGACGGTGATGGAATTCCAGACCACGATGACTACGATGATGACAACGATGGCATTCCAGACCATTTAGATGACGATCATCATATATATCATCACGCCCAGGGTAAAACTACAGACTCTGATGGCGATGGAATTCCCGACCATGAAGATCACGATGATGATAATGATGGAATACCAGACCACCATGATGTTGACCATCACAATTATCGTGGAAAGCATCATGATTCGGACGGTGATGGAATTCCAGATCATGACGACCACGATGACGACAACGATGGAATTCCAGATCATTTAGATGATGACCACCATCATTACAAAGGCAGGCACCAAGATTCAGATGGTGATGGAATTCCAGACCATGACGACCACGATGACGACAACGATGGAATTCCAGACCATTTAGATGACGATCATCATAAATATCTTCACGCCCAGGGTAAAACTACAGACTCTGATGGTGATGGAATTCCCGACCATGAAGATCACGATGATGATAATGATGGAATACCAGACCACCATGATGTTGACCATCACAATTATCGTGGAAAGCATCACGATTCGGACGGTGATGGAATTCCAGACCATGATGACAACGATGACGACAACGATGGAATTCCAGATCATTTGGATGATGACCACCATCATTACAAAGGCAGGCACCAAGATTCGGACGGTGATGGAATTCCAGACCATGATGACCACGATGATGACAACGATGGAATTCCAGATCATTTGGATGACGACCATCATAAATACCACCATGCCCAGGGTAAAAATAAAGACTCAGACGGCGATGGAATTCCCGACAATGAAGATCACGATGATGATAATGACGGAATACCAGACCATCACGATGTTGACCATCACAATTATCGTGGAAAACATCACGATTCGGACGGTGGTGGAATTCCAGACCATGACGACCACGATGATGACAATGATGGAATTCCAGATCATTTGGATGATGACCACTATCATTACAAAGGCAGGCACCAAGATTCGGACGGTGATGGAATTCCAGATCACGATGACTACGACGATGACAACGATGGAATAACAGACCATTTAGACGAGGATCACCCTCATTTTCATCACAAACGAGGAAAGCATTTTGACTCAGATGGCGATGGAATTCCTGATCACGATGATTATGATGATGATAATGATGGTATACCCGATCACTTAGATGAAGACCATCACCACTATCGAGGAAGATATCATGATTCGGACGGCGACGGAATTCCAGACCATGACGACGACGACGATGATAACGACGGAATCCCAGATCACCAAGATGACGATCACATAAAAAAATCTGCAAGAATTAGAACTGAATTATGATATTCTTAATGAACTTATAAATTGACATTTTAATTTTTCTATCTTGTACTTTTGATACTCGTCCTCAAAATTAAATACAGGTCCCTGCATTTGATTTTGGCGATTTTAACAACAGACTTATTTAAAATCCTACATTTCCCAGTTATCCTATAATTCAAAACTCTTGTTTGAGACTATGCCTTTTTAATGATATAAAACCATTCCATTTTGACTGAATATAATTCGCAATTTCTAAAAATTCAGAAAGTTCAGAAAGGGACAAGTATCATAAAAGTATCTCTTATAATGATACCGTCGATATTTATTTCACCATACATTTTTGGTGAAATATTATAAGAACATTTTGTATTGATAGTTTTGTATATTTTGTCTATGTTTTTATGTTATGTATATAATGCCTTTATAGTGTTTATGTTTGGAATATAAAACAAATAATAAATACACTTTTTTGTTGTTCCACTTTGATTTCAGTTTCCCGAACAACTACATAGATGATTCCATTAGTATAAATGCCTCCTCATATATGAACAAATCAACTTAACACAGCCTTGCGAATTTGGTGAATTGTCAATTATGGCGATTGGGAACGTTAGAATGCAAATCGAAGCGCTACTTTGCGCATGTCGAAGCCGTCCGAAGCTTTCCAAAAAGGGACTTGCGCATACGAACAACCCAACGATGTACAAAGTGCATTATCGCTGATTGGTCAAATCGACAGACAAATGAAGTCATTTAATACCGGTTTAGAAAAATTCTAAAAATGCTTCGAATTATAAGTTATTGAATGATTTGAAATGCAATACAGGATATATTCTGCTCGAGAAATTCCGTATTGGAACGAGACGAAGCCGAGTGCCAATACAGAATATCGAGACAGAATATATCCTGTATTGCACTTCAAATCATTCTATAACGTTTTTATCGTGTGATCCTCTGTATTGCTACTGAGAATGTCCCCTCCATACCAATATTTTCTGTATTGCGACGGAGATGATCAATGCGGACAATCTCAGTAGCAATACAGATTGGTACAGAACAAGAACTGACCAATCAGAAGGCTTAATTTTACAGAAAATACGATAATATAAGTTATTGAATGATTTGAAGTACACATAAGCATACTATTTTATCGTATGCTCTGTAAAATGAAGCCTTCTGATTGGTCATTGTTTACTCTCATATCTTCAAAATTCTTTGTTAGGATTTCTCTGGGGAATATGTGATGCAAAATGTGGTGATTTAACTCTTAAAAGGGAAGAAATAAAAGTAAATATAAGACTTGGGACTTGTGTTGTCTCGGCTACTATAGAATCATTCTTGGTTGGTGTGATATAAACAAAAATGCATTCCAAGTTGTAAGGGCATGCACCTTTGCTAATTTGCCTAATCATTTGTGAACTTAGAAGGTTAATTATTTTTAGAGGCGCAGTTGAGCCAAAGATTTTACAAGTAAATCATGAAAAAGCCCCTTTTGAAAATTTGGGTTAGTACTAAACAAGGAATTCAAAACACAGGCAAAGGAGTTGGAAATGTAAAAGCATGAGTGCATGTTCTAACCCGTACACTACACAGGGGCAGGGCCCTGGTGCACTATCAGGGTGGTTAAATAGTTGCATGAATGCTTTAAAATTCAATAAAGAATGAAAGAATAAGGTTTATTAAAATGAAAATAGATAATGTTAGGGATAAACAATGAGTCTTTGGTATCAGGAAAAACAATGGCTAGCCAATGCCTAGTGTGCATTCTTTAAATACAATAAATCAATAATACACTGCTCTTTGGTATAGCTGGATATTCTTGAAATACACAGTTCATTCTATTATGTTAAATCTGAAGAATAGAGACTCTGTCTAATATATTTTACATTTATATTTCCTATAATCCAAGGCATTGTCAAATATAATGAAGTACGGCCCCTGTCTTGATGAACAAATCCAGTACGGATCGTACTCATTTAACATGTCTACCGATGATCCAAAACATTGTTAAATCTAATGAATCACCGGACTTGTCTACTTAACTCAACATTCACATCCCCTTCATAAGTTTATCAATTGGATGTCCCCTTTTCACCAAACATCAAAATCTGGTTAGGTTTAAAAATCTTCTTGGTCGTAATTAGATTAAGGAGTCCAGACTAATATAATAAAAAGACTGTATAAAATCTACTGAATTACAAGCCATATATGATATTTTACAATCACAACGATGACCTAAGACGGTTTTAAATCTGCTGAATAACACAACTTGTCTTATATATTTTACATTCACATTGATGACTCAAGAAAGTGTTAAATCTGCTGAATAACAAGCATTGTCTTATATATTTTACATTCACATTGATGGTTTTAGTACTAGTTGAGAAGGCATTTAAATTGCTATATTGACGTGAGCAATATTGTGTCGGGCGTTAATGACTTTAGTCGGGCAATAATGACATTATCCACCCGGCTATGTTTCCCGGGAAAAGTGATATCGTTCAGTGCGTAAGATTTTCTATTTCAAATTTGCTATTTCAGCCCTGGGCATTAACGGTGGTAATAATAGTAATAACGTCATTTCAAAGGGCAATATAGTGAAATATTGGACCAATTGTACTATTTAGAAACCTGACCTTTATATTTTACATTAACATCAATGTTCCAAGATATTGTCGAATATTATGGATCCAGTCTTGTATATTTTACAATGATCCAAGACTGTGTTGAATCTGGAAGGTTATGAGTTCTGTCTGATATAATTTATATTTGTATCGATCCTAGTTGATGACCCAGCCGGTGTTTGAAGGGTTGATGAATTCTGGGTGGTGCTTCTCTTTCTCATACATGTACATTTAACATCATAGGAGAGGTTGCTAAATGTGTAAATCATCGGGTTGATGGCGCTATTGATTGGAAGCACAAATATGCTGATATAGGCAAATATTTCACCTAAAATGAAGAAAAAAAACATTATTAAAAAAGAAATGCGTCATGTATTACCAAACGAAAGAAGATGCGAATTATACTGAAATTAAATCCTATTGACATTAAATTCACGTGGTAATTTATATATCCCAGTTTTGTCTCTGGTCATTAATTGCACCAAATGATTAAAATGTCAAAATACTTTCCAAAGCGCCACTTATGTTTTATCTATAGAATGCGTATGGTTTATAATTTCCTTCTTGACCTGTGTAATGTACGTACGTCAATCGAAGAAATCCAAATGTATGTACCTGGAAGTTGGACGCCTTGCAGAGCCAGAAATCCCAGTATTGATATCGGGACCCAGCAACAGAAATCCGTGGCGACAATCCACAGCATCTTCCTAGCCATCTTCACTTCCCGATTTGTGTGACGCCGAATGGATGCACGTCGAATAAAGGTGGAGGCGAATATTCCCAAATAGCCTCCCGCAATGAGGATGAACCCGACAAGAGTGGTGACATTAAATATGGAGAACGAGTATTCCCATCCTTTGAAATTAAAGTCGGTCAAAATAAGTGGCAGACAGAAACCAGACTGTGAAAAGAAAGCGTATGGACCAAAGTAGTTCAAAGGAAGAAGAGGCAATCCAGACAGAATCACACATAGAGTCCACCCAAAAGACATGACAATATAAGCAGAGCATTGATTAAGGTGAAGCTTGGACTTGAACGGAAACACAATTTTAAAAAATCTATCGAAAGTCATGGCAACAAGAATAAAGACTGACATCTCACTTGAAAGAGAGGCAGTAAATCCAGCTAACATGCAAATCCTTCCATTGACCCAATCATATCGATTTTCTGCATACACTCCTCGAAACTTCACATCCACAGCCGCTATAATAAAAATATAGCTGCTCATCAAAAAATCGGCGATGGACAAATTCATTATCATGATGCAATTGATGTTAGAGCTCTCATTCTTCTCGTTTAGACGCAGCACTATAGCTATTAAGTTGCCAAGAAGAATCAATACCCCGATAGTCCAGAGAGAAACCCTTAGTATATCACTCTTGATTAGGTAGGCACATGACGACAAATAGTCCGGTTGCGGATCACATTCAAGAACGTTTGAAGCAATACAACATATCTCCATGTGGTCGCTCTTCAGGGACTGCAAACTTGGCAATATGTTGAACATCGTGGGCACATACTCAGTCTTAGAGAATGTGTTGTCCCTTAGATCAATTGTGTCGATGTTTACAAGGTATTTGAACGTTTCCTTGTTGATTGTGTGAATATTACAGCTTTTAAGATTTAGTACCTTGAGGGTGTGTAGACCAAGAAACATGGATGTTGTTAATTTACCTCCTTGTATTTTTGTTTGAGACAAGCTGAGGTCTTTTAATTTCTCTAGATCTTTAAAACAGTTGTCATCCAGTGCAATTGGGATTGCATTTTCATGGATTTCTAATTTACTTAAATTCCCCAAGCCAGTAAATATACCTTGTGAAAGTCTTGTTAGGTTATTGCGTGATAAAACCAAGGTTTCCAACTGTCCCAAATGCCTAAACGCAGCGTGATCAATTGTGTGCGAGGATGTGGAAGCAAGATCCAATTTCTTCAGAGATACGAGGCCTTTAAACATGGACGCGTTCAACGTTCCTTGTAAATCAGTATAGGTCAAGATCAAATCATTCAAATTCCTCAGATCCTCAAAGCAACCATCTTCCAATTCAAGTGGGACCGAGTTATATCCGATTCTCAATTCTTTCAAACTTCCCAAGCCTTGGAACACATTATGATGAAGTTTCGTGAAGCTATTACGAGACAATTTTAGAATTTCCAACATTTTCAAGTATTCAAATGCCTTTCCCAAAATATCCGTTATATCATTACGTATCATATCCAGTTCTAGGAGGTTTGGCAGTCCTCTGAATGTTTCTCGTTCAATGAACTTAAATAGATTGTTATTTAGAAGTAACTTTTTCGTGTAAGTTGGTATTCCAAATGGTATAACTTCAAGGCCGTTGAATCCACACTCAATGTGATCAAATTTTGGCTCTGGTTTGGTCTGACAATGGCAGTATTCTGGTGCATTACAAGATATAGGGCTTGGATTTCCAGGGAATACGCTGGAAGGAGCAGAATGAATGTTGGCACTCAGATTCCCGAGTTGGGAGAATGCTGGCTTTGGAATTGAAACACACATAAATCGATCCGTGATAACATCTTTACAGTTCCCCTTTCCCCGTTTTACACGGGGATGGATATTTATGATTTGGCATTTTTGGAGGTTCATCCTCAAACCTGAAATCACAAAGTTATACGTTGTAATAAGATAGCATACCAAGAGGGATTGGCAGCCATCATTCACAATCAATCATCTGCTGAAATGAAACGACTCAAAACTCAATCCATTTCTTCCAATATACAAGGGGCGATCCATATATTCTGATAAAAATGATCTCATTTTGTGATTTTTTCACATACCCCTCTCATGGTAACCGTATCTCAAAATTGATTAAAGATATAGCTTTAATGATTTAGCAATGTATGCGTAATTACATAATCTATACGCTCTGAAAAAATGAGAGGGATATATTAAACTAGACTTTTGAAGATTGCAAGCAATCTCACGGAGGCCCTCTTAGGCATTTTTGACAATTTGAAGGTCAACTAAAGGACAAATATCAAATCTGAGGTCAGATGTGAACTCCTGAGAACTTGTAGATGATTTTCAAAAAACGATTTTGTCAATTTGAAGCGAGTTTAAATTTGACCTTGAAAAATTTCGAAATTGACCTTTTTTCAGCTTTTGAACTCTTATATCTCAAACTGGGACAAAATTCCATTAGAAAGTCAATTGCTAATATGTGTAGAACCCTTAGAGGAATGTGTATATTTCGACTTCGGATTAAAAATATCGGTTTGTAGTCTCGAACTTTGCGAAACTTAGATAGCACAGTTTGTGACCTAATTTCATGATCTTGACCTTTGACCCTGAAAAGTTTTACTTTTTTAGACCTCAGTAGGTCTTTTGTAATTAGGCTGACCTAAATTTGAATCCAAAGACTCAATTTGAAAAATCAACTTTTTTTACCTTTCAAAGGTCATTGAAGGTCAACTAAAGGTCAAAGGTTAAATCTGAGGTCAGATTTGGACTCCTGGGAACTTGTAGATGATTTTGAAAAAAAAAATTGGTCAGATTGAAGCAAGTTGAAAAATGACCTTTTTTGACGTCAAATATCTCAAAAATGGTAAAAATTTAATGCTGACATATTGTAAACAATTTGTAGAGAATACTAAAATGTAGTTTCAGTTTAATTCATCGCAAGAAATAATGAAGTATAAGGACAAAGTTGAGAAACTTGAAAAATATTTAGATTTGACCTAGATTTTGACCTTTGACCTAATTTGATAACCGTGACCCTTGACCTTGAAAATTTTACTGCTTTAGAGCTCAGTAGGTCTTTTATGATTAGGCTAACCCTAAATTTGAATCCAAACACTCAATTTGAAAAATCAACTTTTCTGACCTTTAGAAGGTCACTGAAGGTCAACTAAAGGTCAAATGTCAAATCTGAGGTTAAATATGAACTCCTGAGAAGTTGTTGATGATTTTTAAAAAAAAGTTGGGTGAATTTGAAGCAAGTTAAAATTTGACCTTATAAACTTTGAAAAATTGACCTTTTTCAGTTTTTGAGCTCTTATATCTCAAAACTGGGACAAAATTTTAATAAATAGTCAATGGCTAATATGTGTAGAACCCTTAGAGGAATGTATATCTTGACTTTCAATTAAAAATATTGATTTGTAGTCTTGAACTATGAGATACTTAGATAGCACAGTTTGTGACCTAATTTGATGACCTTGACCTCTGACCTTGACATTTTTACTTTTTTAGACCTCAGTAGGCTTTTTGTAATTAGACTGACCTAAATTTGAATCCAAAGACTCAATTTGAAAAATCAACTTTTCTGACCTTTCGAAGGTCACTGAAGGTCAATTAAAGGTCAAAGGTCAAATCTGAAGTCAGATTTGGACTACTGGGAACTTGTAGATGATTTTAAAAAAAAAATTTGGTCAGATTGAAGCACGTTGAAAAATGACCTCTTTTGACCGTTTTTTGACGTCAAATATCTCAAAAACGGTAAAAATTTAATGCTGACATATAGTGAACAATTTGTAGAGAATACTTAAATGTAGTTTCAGTTTAATTCATCGCAAGAAATAATGAAGTATAATGACAAACTTGAGAAACTTAAAAAAAAACTTAGATTTGACCTAGATTTTGACCTTTGACCTTGACCTAGATATGAAATATTTTCCCATCAAGATCAAACCAGGTATCTAGTAGGAGCATATAGTAGAAAGTTGAAAGCTAGTTGAAAGTAGGAGAAAACTGCTTTGATAGAATAACTAGACTTTTGAAGATTGCAAGCAATCTCACGGAGGCCCTCTTAGGCATTTTTGACAATTTGAAGGTCAACTAAAGGACAAATATCAAATCTGAGGTCAGATGTGAACTCCTGAAAACTTGTAGATGATTTTCAAAAAAAGATTTTGTCAATTTGAAGCGAGTTTAAATTTGACCTTGAAAGATTTCGAAATTGACCTTTTTTCAACTTTTGAACTCTTATATCTCAAACTGGGACAAAATTCAATTAGATAGTCAATTGCTAATATGTGTACAACCCTTAGAGGAATGTGTTTATTTCGACTCAGGATTAAAAATATTGGTTTGTAGTCGAACTTTGCGAAACTTAGATAGCACAGTTTGTGACCTAATTTCATGATCTTGACCTTTGACTTTGAAAAGTTTTACTTTTTCAGACCTCAGTAGGACTTTTGTAATTAAGCTGACCTAAATTTGAATCCAAAGACTCAATTTAAAAAATCAACTTTTCTTACCTTTCGAAGGTCAATTAAAGTTCAAAGGTCAAATCTGAGGTCAGATTTGGACTCCTGGGAACTTGTAGATGAGTTATAAAAAAAATTTGGTCAGATTGAAGCAAGTTGAAAATGACCTTTTTTGACCGTTTTTTTACGTCAAATATCTCAAAAACGGTAAAAATTTAATGCTGACATATAGTGAAGAATTTATAGAGAATACCAAAATGTAGTTTCAGTTTAATTCATCGCAAGAAATAACGAAGTATAAGGACAAAGTTGAGAAACTTGAAAAAAATTTAGATTTGACCTAGATCTTGACCTTTGACCTAATTTGATAACCGTGACCCTTGACCTTGAAAATTTTACTATTCTAGAGCTCAGTAGTTTTTTTTGATTAGGCCAACCCTAAATTTGAGTCCAAAAACTCAATTTGAAAAATCAACTTTTCTGACATTTCAAAGGTCACTGAAGGTCAACTAAAGGTCAAATGTCAAATCTGAGGTTAAATATGAACTCCTGAGAAGTTGAAGATGATTTTTTAAAAAAAGTTGGGTGAATTTGAAGGAAGTTAAAATTTGACCTTATAAACTTTGAAAAAATGACCTTTTTCAGTTTTTGAGCTCTTATATCTCAAAAGTGGGACAAAATTTTAATAAATAGTCAATGACTAATATGTGTAGAACCCTTAGAGAAAAGTATATCTTGACTTTCAATTAAAAATATTGATTTGAAGTCTTGAAGTATGAGAAACTTAGATAGCACAGTTTGTGACCTAATTTGATGACCTTGACCTTTGACCTTGAAATTTTTACTTTTTGAGACCTCAGTAGGCTTTTTGTAATTAGACTGACCTAAATTTGAATCCAAAGACTCAATTTGAAAAATCAACTTTTCTGACCTTTCGAAGGTCACTGAAGGTCAACTAAAGGTCATAGGTCAAAACTAAGGTCAGATTTGAGTTTCTGAGATCTTGTAGATGCTTTTTAAAAAAAAGTTTGGTCAATTTAGAGCAAGTTGAAATTTGACCCTCAAAAATTTCGAAATTTGACCATTTTTCAGTTTTTGAGTTCTAATATCTCAAAACTGGAGCAAAGTTTTAATAAATAGTCAATTGCTAATATGTGTAGAGCCTTTAGAGGAATATATATTCTGACTTTCAGTAAAAAAATTGATTTGTAGTCTCCAATTTTGAGAAACTTAGAAAACACAGTTTGTGATTTCGTTTGATGACCTTGACCTTTGACCTTGCAAATTTTACTTTTTTAGACCTCAAAAGGTCTTTTGTGAATAGATATACCTAAATTTGAATCCAGAAAATCGATTTGAAAAATCAACTTTTTTGACCTTTCGGAGGTCACTGAAGGTCAACTGAAGATCAAAGGTCAAATCTGAGGTCAGATTTGGACTCCTGGGAACTTGTAGATAATTTTTAAAAAAAAATTTGGTCAGATTGAAGCAAGTTGAAAAATGACCTTTTTTGACCGTTTTTTGACGTCAAATATCTCAAAAACGGTAAAAATTTAATGCTGACATATAGTGAACAATTTGTAGAGAATACTTAAATGTAGTTTCAGTTTAATTCATCGCAAGAAATAATGAAGTATAAGGACAAACTTGAGAAACATGAAAAAAAACTTAGATTTGACCTAGATTTTGACCTTTGACCTTGACCTAGATAAAAAATATTTTCCCCCCTATTCCAGCCAAGGTTCCTAGTAGGATCATATAGTAGGTAGTTGAAAGCTAGTAGGAAGTAGAAGAAAAATGCTTTGAAAGAATAATAAAGAACTAGAGATCGAACGATCTAAGATTGCAAGCAATCTTACGGAGGCCCTATATTCGTTTCTGAACATTCAAAGGCCAGCCAAAGGTCAAATCTCTAATACAAGGTCATATATGAACTCCAGACAACTTGTAGATGATTTTTAAAAAAGGTTTGGTCGAATTAATGCAAGTTGAAATTTGACCTTGAAAAATTCCGAAATTTGACCTTTTTTCAGTTTTTGAGCTATAATATCTCAAAACTGGAGCCATATTTTAATAGATAATCAATTGCTAATATGTGTAGAACCTTTAGTAGAGGAATATATATTCTGACTTTCATTTCAAAATATTGATTTGTAGTCTCCAATTTTGAGAAACTTAGAAAACACAGTTTGTGATTTCGTTTGATGACCTTGACCTTTGACCTTGCAAATTTTACTTTTTTAGACCTCAGAAGGTCTTTTGTGAATAAATATACCTAAATTTGAATCCAGAAAATCGATTTGAAAAATCTTTTTTTTTTACCTTTCGGAGGTCACTGAAGGTCAACCAAAGGTCAAAGGTCAAAAGTAAGGTTAGATTTGGAATCCTGAGAACTTGTAGATGAGTTTTAAAAAAAAATTGGTCAATTTGAAGCAAGTT